TGATGTTTAAGAATAGTTACCACAAAAATTAAGGTTTCTGAGATGATTGTTTTGAAGACTCCACTATTAACCTCTGTAATGATTTGAGCACTGACATACTGGTCAGTGATAAGTACAAAGAGTAAGAGCACTCAAGAACTTGCATCCACTGAAATGTTTAAGATACTTCTAATATTTTCAATATGTTATATATTAGGAAAGTTTAATATTTCCATGATTTCTCTAAAGACAATTTCTTTTGATTACAAACTGCTGGTAAGCCTTGTGAGGCCATGGAGTCACATGGAATACTGCAAGTACACAAGTCTGCAGACAAAACCCTTTCTATTTCTCTTAAAAAAGTAAAGGCTCGAGCAAGCTTAATGATCACACATTTACAAAGAACAGATTATGCCTAGAAAAATGACAACAACTAAAACTTCCAAAATGCAGTCAAAGGGAACAACAAATGTTGTACATCAGCTACTACTTTACATAAAAGGGGTATGGGCCAAGTCCTGAGCACTGCAAGTAAGAAAGAAAGAGAGTAACATTGTTTCATGAAAGTCAATAAATCTGATTACACTGGAGAACAAAATACTGAGGAAAAGGAAAATCTAATCATGAAATGCAATTTTTCTTAACTGATTACAAGGAATTCCCAAATCATTTTTAAATAAAAAACTTTGCATTACCTGATAAAGTTTTTCGCACATTTTCATCCCAGCTAAATCAGTCCTCACCTGCATATTAACCATAAACCATAATTTCAGGAATAAAGAGACTTGGCTACGTACTTCCTCTTATAATGGAAAATTAAAGCATATAACAACAGTGCTAGATCTGCAGAAGGAAACCTGGGGAACTAATGTTTAACCTTCCCTTAGTCACAAAGGGACACTTTGCACCGTCTTGAGGACAATCCCTGGTGATCTGCATTCGATAGTTTAGTATCTGTTTCTTTCCATGAGAAGGGGTAATAGCATAATTCATATGCCTGATGTGTTCTACTCTAGATGTCAATATTTTCAAATGCCAAACCGGCAAAATAGTCAAGTTTAGGTTTTTCAGTTTGGGGTTTGTAATTAATAATATCAGAGACTGTGAGATTACACAGTCAATTTTTTTTTCTCTGCTGCTTAACTGTTCTCAGGCTGCTCTCAGGTCTTATTAAAGATTGTGTCACTGTTTACAATAATGTAATTAGTATTTTTTTAGGCTTTGCTACAATCAGCACTTTTCAGTAACAACTATGTTCCTTCTGTCATTAGGGTTTGACCTTGCCCTGTGTGAAAACTCTTTAAAATACTTAGAGTATCTCTCTAATAAGAGGCCAAAACTATACGTGTATCATAAAATATTCAGAAAATATCCTACCTACTTAAGTGAGATTGCAGTAAAATTTCAGTTAATTTGATGAAAGAGAATTTGGAATTTGTATTCCTTGTTTTAAAATCAACCATAAGAGTAAGCTTCTTACCACTCTTGTTCAATAATGTAGAAAAAAATAAAGGTATTTTTCAATAACTGCTTTAAACACAGCTTTTTACACCACATTATGGATTTCAGAAGTATTACTTGGGTTTCACAACAGAGATTTCAATAAAGTTTCAATAAAGTTCAATAGAGTTTTTAAATTTAATAAAATCATCTGAACATTTAAGACCCCTCAGTATGTGGCATATGTCCCTTTTACTGCTTGCAGTACTTAGAAATGAGATTTACTGAAATCAGTGGGAAAGACTTGCTTGGGCTTCAGATTCAGAATCCATTCAGAACCATGTTTATGACTGACGACAATCATAGCATGTCTCATCTAAGAATATTATCAGAGCACCAAGTAGGTGACTGTGATATCCTTAGGTATATGAGAGGATGGAGGTACATTCCAACTTTTCCTTGTTTCTTGTTTTATAATTGGAAGTTCCCTTATGAATTTCCTTCTGAAGCAATTTTAAAAATGCCTGGGATGCATTTTACAAGTTCTTAAGTTTAGAGGAAGCTTTTGTTGACCTGACTGTCCCTTTCACAAATCAGTAATAAAACTGTATGTGATTCATGCTCAAAAGAACAGCTTCTAGTTCTAAAGCCAAAATAGAAAACATGTATTTAAGATCAGTATTACACCTAATAGAGATCAACACAAGAATAGGACATTCTCAAAATTTAAGTAATTCAAACATTCAACCATTTGAAGATCCTGAAAGTGGGAGACTATATTATAATTATGTTCTAAACTTCATTATTTAAAATGAAGCATTTAAAAATAGTAGACAATTAAAGCTGCTATTGTGGGAGTATTTTTATATTTTGTGTTCTTCTCTGTACAATATATATTTGCACATATATATTTCTCTTAAGAGTTATGGAGGTTTTGGGGAACCAGTATAGCTTTTAGTAGAATTTGCAGATATACTACTAGAACCAGATTCCTTAATGGAAATATGGGGCCTTTTACTCTGTTTGGAAAAAAAGTCTGTATGAGACCACCCATGATGCAGAGACTTAGTAACAATAGAGCCTTGGCTGGATTGAACTATAGGAAGTGCTGAAACACAATCATCTGTATGGCAACACAGACATGGTCTTAGAGGTGAAAATTTGCGGGTAACTGCTGAATAAATAAAATAACTTGTTTAATGAAGTAATTATAGTGATTCCTTTGTTTGAATGCAATTTATATGCAATTTTAGTTGCCAGGAGTGTGAAAGTATTTAAAGGTATAGAGAGAGGCCAGAAGAGGAACAGGTGGATGAAGTGAAAATTACGTAACTTGCTTGGCAAGAGGAAAACCCTGTAGCAACAAGTGCTTTTCCTCCCTGCCTCCCATTCACTCATTGTAAGCACCAAGGAGTTGCTTTCATTCAGAAGCATCATTTGCCACTGCTTCCTCGAGTGCAGACTGAATTCACGATTTCAACTCCAAAATGGCACAATGAGCAGACCATGCAATGCTGAGTGCTGATCAGAATGAAACAGAGGTTTTCCAAGACAGTTACATCAACATCAAACACAAAATTTTAGGGGTCTGGGTCATTAGGAGCAAGATAGTTTTCTTGTCTTGCTTTTTCTTTTTTTCTTCTTTTTTTGAGAAAATTTCTGGAGAAAACTAATAGGCCTACAGCAAGTCTTCCCACACACAAAAACATTACCAGGGTGCTTTTCAGTCACTCCCTGTCCTCCCAACGAATAGGTTTTAAAGTTTAATAACTCCTTTTTGCGGCAAATCTCAGGGAAAATAATTTACCTTTGAAAAGCTCTAGAGGGGAGGATAAAAAGAAAGAAAAAAAACAACTCTATGTTTTCGAACTGATGATGTGGGAGTTAGAGTGAACATTAAGACTTTCCCAGGAATCCCTAAGGAATTAGCATATATTATTTTAAGTCCTTACTGCTGTCATAGGATTGCTTTTGAATTGTGGGGTAACTCTCATGGATTGGATGACTTTCTTACTAAACTCAGAAGTATACAACCATTTTCCTCTCCCTGTGAGGTAAATGTTGCTGATATATATATATATATATCAGAGTAAGTGCCAGCAAGGTTAAGGAGTCCTTCCCAGAGTAAAAAAATAACAGTTTGGGTTGGAAGAAGGTAATAAATAAGATTATTCCACCAGCTCCTGTTCTCTGTCTACTAATTCTGTTTTCCCCCTTAGTAATATGACACTCTTCCTCCCATCTCTGTGAGTGGTGTCTAGAAAAGACTTTTTGAGGACTATGTTTTACGAGTAGGATGGAGGCTTCCCAGTTTTCTATGTATGGGAGAATTCATATCTAAAAGAATATAGAAAGAAAAGGGCTTACCAATCTCAGGGATCTTTCCTGGCTTTGTGCCCTAGAAAATGCTAAAGATATGGCAAAGCTACACGTGTGAGCATGCACTCAGACTCATTTTGTTCCTAGAAACATTTGAAATGTGAGTGATATTTGAAATTAGTTCATGCTTCTGCTTGGCTCTCATGTTCCTTTCTGTTCCCTTGAGCTCTCATTCTACCTCTGTCTCCACAGACTACAGGCAACTCCCATCAGGCCAGTGCTGAACTGTGCACCTGTGAAGTAGAGAGACAAATGTAGAAACATAGACAAGTGACCTTAGATGGGCTTTTGCATGACCTGGCTGGAATCTTGGAAACATACCTCAAAATTACTTTTTTTCTTTAGTTCCCTGTATTCTTCACTGTATAGCCTTGAATTCCAGATATATATATATACTAGTTTTTGGATGACAGAGTGGGAAGAAAGGGTGGGGGTAGATTTCTGTGAAAATGCCATAAATCTGTCCTCTGGTTTATAACAAAGGTAAGTTTTTGGTGCATTGATTAAAAATAAAATCACCCTTTCTCTAGATAATTTCACTACTAAAGAAGAATTATACCTAAGGCTAAGCAGAAAAATTATTTTAAAAACACATTTAATAATCTATATATCTATAGATATACAGATTAGATATAGAGATCTATAAATCTATATATTTCCTCATTATAATTGAATTACATGCAACTTTCACTAAAATACAGTCTATTAACCTCTAAACTGAAGATGTCTTTACTCACTGTTCCAAAACAAAGGATGTTCCTGACTTCCAGAAACCTTCTCAAAAACACTTTTCAACCTGAGGGAAGATAACAGAGTTCTAAAAAAAAACCCAAACCCAACAATATTAAGAGGTTGTTATTGTAATTTCAGTATAAAATAATCTAACGTGTTAGGAGGGGCAGGAGAAAGAGAAAATACTAGCCCTGAGTGAGGCAGAATTAAAAGTAGAAAGACAAAACTGGGCAAAGTTAAGGCAAAAACATACATGTTTTTCAGTGATCTCTTCACATAAAAAATACATATAAAAAATTGAAACACTGTGAGGTAATTAATAACAAAGGCATTAGAAATTAGAATTAGGTAATCCCAGGCACCTTTTTCCGTTCTACATTTCTATAACTCTCTGTTACCTCCTCCCTCTAGAATGTCTACATTCCTCTTCCTGCTACGTGTGAACTTACACTCATGTATCTTAAACACAGGGGTCTTGAAAACTTCTTTCACTGTGATGCAAACTAGCAGCACTTTCCTTGCATGTGGGACAAGTTAAGAACACCCATATGAACAGGTAGGATGGCTCATCTGGAACTTGTTATGCTAACATAAATCAGCGTGTTTGATACAGGCCTTAGCCTAAATGAGACAAATGAGAGAGAACAATGCTATGTTATCAGGGAGAGAGCAGAGACATCAGTCTAGTAACAGTTCAAATACAGCAGAGGATAATTAAAGAACAAGTCAGACAAATATTTTAATTATTGGATAACAGCACTTTTGAAGGATGCAAAACCAAAAGTGCATATTTTAAAGGTAAGAACACAGACATGTAAGGACTTTAGGACCAGTCAGTTATGGAGAAAGTACAGAGCAGTAGAAGGAGATGAGGGAATAACATAAAAAGAAAAGAAAAGAATATAAAGAAAATCAAACTAGACTTCACAACATCTAAAGGCATCAGCAGTCTTCTGAGGGAATACAATATTTTTCCTAGCTGCAAATTTATGCAATAGGTCAAATATATGTTGGCCTCATTTTCTTTGATGGTAGATTGTATAGATCAGATATCAGAGTCAAAGTATGTTAAACTTATGCAAAGACTGCAATTTTAAAACCACTAGTGGTGGTCCAAAAGAAAAGAGCTGGAAATGGAGTAACTCCCTAATGATGAATTTCAGGATTTGAATGCTATCAAAGTAGAAACTATATTCTATTTTATACAGCTAATAAAGGTCAAACATCTGAAAAAATGGACTGGGATGCATATGAAAGTGTAAAATGAAGGAAAGTAGTAGAGCTTCCCAAAGGAAAAGTGGAAACCAAAGAAGTAAATTAACACTAGAGATTGAAGAAGTGAGAGTTTTGCATAAAAATGGTTTATACATACATTAAAGCTCCTCTCACTTCCTTCTGTTACTAAAGAAAATTAGAAAGGCCCACAACAGGCCAAAGTTAAGATATGTGAAAATAAAGCCAGTGAGTTCCTTATCTATAGATAAAATGCAGGGGGAAAGTCAATTTTCAGGCAATAAAAATACAAAAGTAGGGTGAGACCAGAGATACAAAAGACCAGAGATGATGTTTAATAATCCACCAGTTCTCATGTCTAATTAATGCTTTCAGGCACATGGACATTATAGAGAAAACTGCAGACTTAAAGATTAATTAGCTTACCATACCATGGCTAAACCAGGATCAGTTTGATCCCAACCTAGAATAAATAATAAAAAAGTGGAGGCTGCAAAAAAATTAAATAAATATGTAGAGCTCAGAATAAATTAGTAAGTTTATACTAGAGAGCGGCACCAAGCTTTTTTTAGAAAATAGGAACTCTTTTAATAAAAGTAACGAGGCACACTGAAACAAGGGTAAGATACTTTGGTTTGATTTTGTTATGCATATTTTATTTTTTTAGGTTTATAACTAAAAGTATTAAAATGCTGCTCATATAATAAACTCAAACAAACAGAATAACACTCTGCTAACAGTCATAGATGATATAGATAGCTATATGCAAGTGCATTTATCATAACTAAAGTGAACTTTTTAACAAGTTAACAAAAGTGGGAAGTAGGATACTCAGTTTATTTGTGATATTTCTTCCTATTTTACAATACTGGAAATACTTTTAAAGAAACAGAAATGCCGACAGGATTTTCAGAAATCACTATCAGACAATTCTGATATGCATACCCCCTGATGGTGGCATTCTGAAGGAAAAAATCATTAACAAAATTAGAATATACTTGGAAAAAAAATTGAAAAAATAAATACACTTACAGATATTTAATGCTGGCAAGTTCTAGAAAGTTATCTGTGTGCACTTAATGGTAAAATGGATTTATGAGAATTTTTTTCAAAGCTTTAAGGTCTACTACTCAATAAATTTAAAACCAGTTACATGTGAACTGTTGCAACTGTTTCACATGCTTAGAGTTTATTGATTTTTTATTTTGGCACAGTATATCAGGGATATAAAACTAAAGATGGTTTGAATACAAACTTATGGAATGTTAGACTTTGATTTTATAAACTCAGAAAATGTGTTCAGATTGACAGATCTTATTTTTCTGGATTTCAAAAAATTCCCTACTACCAATCATACTAGTGAAATAAATGTTTGAAAAAAAGTAATTATTTTTTTTACTTATTTTAAAGAGCAGTACTTAAACCACACTGCAAACCAACCAAATTGTAATCTCTCATGGTAATGAAAGATTATTCCTTCTGCTACCATGACGTGAGGTTTTAGTTATGCTTTGGAATTAGACTTGCTAAAAAAATTCCAAGCTCTGAAATTTTTTCGACTATTTTTAGTGGGGAAAACAGGTAGTTCTATGCACATATGAAATGTATTCACTGCTTAAAAGAGAAATGATATTTGACATTGATCTGAAAACATTAATTACTTTAATTTATTCCATTAATTCAATTATTTAAATTTCCTTCTTCTTCCAAACAATCATGACACAACTTTCAGTCACAAGCAGCTTGAAATAAAGGGAGGAACATTCTTTACCTATTTCACATCTTTTCCACTGCCTGTAGAGTTAATGTTCTGTTTTTGGTTCACAGTTAATTCCAATAAAAAAACAAGAACTTGGGAAACACACAGATGGCCACATACTATAAATTATATGGCTGTCTTACGTGGGCGGTATGTAAAACATTGCTTCTTCACTCCCTCATATCAAGCCTGAAATCAGAAGGCACTTGGTGCTGATATGCCTTTTGCATTTTCTGTTTTTAATTTTTGTAAAAATTGTATTACTTTCAAAAATAAGTCTTCTCAATTAGGAAAACTTTTATGTAACATAATCTCTCCAAAATCTAAAATGTTTTCATTAATGATGGTTTTATTCTCTCCAGAGGAAAACTATACACAGGAAGGATACAAGAAAAGGAGCAAATCCAAGAAGAAAAAGAAATTTTCAAGTATGACTGAAGTGGTTTAGAATACTACCCAGGTCCACTGTTGGAAACACTTCTGAAAGAGGCAGCTCTGGAAGCTGGTCACCTGAAGACAGTGAGAAAACGGATGTGAGAAAGGAAGGACCTGATCATCCATCAGACAGAATCCAGACATGACAATTAGAGTTAATGAACCACAACCCATGAAGCTGCCTCAGCACCTTTTTACAACCCCACTTCATGGCCTTAATAAAAGTACCAGGGTTTATTTTACAGAGCACATCTGCTCTAAATTCTCAAAGGAGAAACTTTGCATTCAGAAGTTATGTTTGGTTTCTTCACCACTTTTCAGTGATGCATAAAGAATATTTAACAGCTGTGTATTTACTTTTCTATCTGTTCAGTCAACACAACATCGGAAGATAATGCTTTTTTGTATAATAAGACTGCATTGTTATAATAATTATTTAGCTTACATTAACACAGTAAGCTGCTGAGGATGACTGAAAAGTACCAGGCAAATATTTTTTTTTTATTTCTCCAGTCTAATGGCATCTATATGCAAGTATTGCCTTTGATTTCAGATATTTAGAAATAGTGTGCTTTACAAAAATCAGGTTGATTTGCTGCTTTTCAAATATGCCTCACTCAGCCTTGGTACTGAAGTCTTCAATTTCTTCACAGAGCAGGTATGGCTAAGCAATACCTCTTCCTCCCCTAAGTCCAGAAGATCTGCTGAACTTCTAAGCCTGACGTTGAAACTGATCTTTCTTGCCTTACAGACAAAGGATTTCTGCAGTTATCCAGTTTTTGGATCCTACCCATTTCCTTAGGTCTCAACTACCAGTTCCATACCCATACTGCTTCTTCTGTCCAGAAGCAAAAAGAAGCCAAGTGGAAGGATAAATTAGCTCATAGATTAATTGTTAGAAGACTCCCTTTTGCATAGTAGGAGATGACTGGAAGAGCTCTGGGATGGACTATAAGGTATAATATATAAAGGGAAGAAGTCATTTTGTTCCTCGCCACAGTAACATGAGTAAAAATATGACAAAATTGACCCTGTTGTATCACAAAGCTTCAGATGGCAGTTATTGAGAAGCCTAATTACGATGCATTGCTTTCAGATTGTCAGTATTTTTCAGGAAAGTAAAGAGAATACCTTCTTTTGATATTAACCATTAATTTAAAAATTAATCAATCTGCATATTAATCCACAACTGAATCAATCCTAGAGTCATTTGCCAGAAGGATAGTATATTTTGTCATGACGTTATTGGTCAGCCAAGTCTGATATGTATACAGTGCTAGCACAAAAATTATTTTCCCAAAACAAATCAATTCCCCATGAAAATTGATATCTAAATTACCATTGCTTTTTGGTAATGGTAGACAATTCCAGGAACACTTGTCCAGTTTGGCCTTGTCAAAGCCTCCTACAGTAAAATATATAATTCTTCTCTTTTTATAATAAGCAGAAAACATCAACACGTTTAGGAGACATTCTGCTTTGTTTGCAGGAACTCAGTGGGACCCTGTGCCTCATACAGACTTTACCACTGAGTTCCTGCAGCTTGGTTCAGAAACCTGCAAAAGCAAGATAGTAAGTGCAGAGCAAGAGCTCGGGAGTGGTGTCTCATGGCCAGCTGCATTCCAATTCCCTCTTCTTAGTGAGTTAAAAAGCGATTGGTCACATCCTGGTTGTGGGGAAGAAAAAGACCCTCAGCAGCCAGTACCTGTTTAACTCTGAACTGGAAGAAAACCACCATTCAGAAGAGTCCAGTTTGGTCTTGCACATGGAAATGTCTGTGGTGCAGGACTTCACTGGGAGCCGTTGCCTTTCAAGGGAAGTGGCTCACAGAGCTTTGTATTATAATTTTTTTCTGTACTTTAAATAACAGATTAAATAATAAACCACTTAATCTTATTCTTGCCAAATTTTCTCAACTAAAATTAAAAAAAAAAGTCTTACATTGTTTTAAATGGCTTGGTAATAAAAATCCCTGAAACTATTACTCTTAGTGTACATACTATTAATAAGATAAGTTTAGGTTTATCTTCTTTCCTTGTTCATTTGGTTTTTGTTTTAACCTTCCTAGAGCTCATTAAATGTATTGAAATCACAGTCAAACTAGTGAAAAAATAATATGTGAAGCTGAAAAACTAGCAAAATTTAAAAATTATTGAAATAATGTTTGCTACAAATACCTTCTGCCTTGCTTAAACATCAAATTATTTTTGCAAATTTGTGTTCAGAGAACATATTCAACATAGTGAATAAACCACCCACAGACCAGTTGAATGATGTTTTAAACGCCCACTACTTTAATAATTTCCTTCAAGCCAATTCTACTTCAGTAACTAAAGAACACATAACAGAAGAAATAATTGGTTTTAACTTCAAGTGTCATATAAAAACATTTAATGGAAGATCTCTATGATGTAAACAAATCTTTCTATGAGAAAATGCTCTACTAGAAATTTGTGGTTTCATGAGCTGTTTACAAGTCATTCTATTGTAACACTTTTTATTTAAAAGTAACAGTAAATTGTATTTCGTCATAAACTTTATTTCTTTGGGTTTTAATTAATTTAATTATTTTTTAAATTATTGTTTTGATGACATTTAATATACAAAGCAGTCATTTTGATTGAAAAGAAAACATTGTTCCTCATCCAATATTCTCATCCAAAATAACTCATGTTTATAGGGAGACACAGCAAGGAAAACAAATATTAGGTGTTGACTCAAAGATATGAGAGCACTTAACTCAGAACTGTGGCTTGGAAGAGCCAGATCATGCATGAACATTCAATCCTCCTTGGCAGTTACAGTCCAAGTTTTTGTATACATTCTAACCAAAACTAAAGTGAACTCTCCAGTTTCTTAATTAATAGAAGATATACAGAACCAACCTCCCAGCACAGTACGTATATTGAAAAATGTCATGTGTATTAATTAAATTACAGTATTAAAAAAAATAAAACATCTATGTGTACCTTCTCAATCCATATTTTCAGCATCCTATGTCCTACTTTCCTTGCTAAGTGAATCATATCTTTAAGAAGATTTAAAATCCCACTTTGAAAGGGAAGAGTACAATAGGACTGGGAACCAGGTCATTCTGGTGTAGACAGTAAAATGTTGCCTTACAATGAAAAGAGGTATAAGTGTAAAAAAATACTGTGTTCTTATTACTAAATTACTATTGCAAACAGAAGCTGTCATTAGGCAGAGACATTTTTCAACTTTGTCTTGAAGTCTCTCTTAAGACAAAAACTAACAATAAATACTAGAAAGAAATTTCTGTCCGCTTGAGGAGATCCTCTAAACAGATCACCATACACTTTCTTAGTTAAGAATCTGATTGCAAAACCGTTTAAGCTGAACTATGCAGAAACTACTCTGAAATAAGAATATCTACAAAGGAGTTGTATTACTTTAAAAATGTTCCATAGTAAATCAACTCAGCGTTCTTGTACAGGCAAAGACTGAGTCTTTCCCAGACATGTTGGCAGATACCACTATACAGAGATAAAATCACTTCTTATGTTATTGCCCAGTCACAACAAACCTAATTTTAATGATTTGTAGGTATAAACATTGGAACATTAAAGGTATCATAGAATCCTCACCTAATTACTTACCTAACTGTTAAGAAACAGGAAGCAGCTATGCACACACAGTTAAATAGGCAGAAGGCCTTTTACTAGGAGCATACAGTTACACACTACTGGACTAAAATTCTGTGCTGTCTTCTGTTATTATGCACAATTCGAAGATATTTTTCTCATTATGCTCTATTATGTTCTGTGAGAGAGCAACACCTTGACCATCTACCACCTTGAACAGCTGTACACTTTCCTGCAGGTAATTTCTGCCCCTCCTGAGTATCCTCCTTCTCCTGCCATATTAATACCATTAGTTCTGTAACATATGGTAAAGTTTTCCAGCTGTAGAGGACCCAAGTAAAGATCCTGGCATGAGACAAATCTTTCAAATGATGTAAATCCAGTTTTGTTGAAGTCAGGAAGATTTTTACAGTTGAATTCAGTTAGGGAACAACTTAGACTTACTAGCCCATTCCTATTCATGTCACACGTTAGGGAAGAGAACCTGCAATTTTGGAATTGACTTGTTCAGCCTAATGGCCACATTCTCAGGACCGAAGTTAATTAATTTTTTTATTAAAAATTCCCATAAGAGTGAATTCCCCATAAGAGAAGTAACCCTTTCCAATACATACCATAGACATGAAGTAAATATTTTCTTGTTCTGAGATTTAGTGGTTATTACTCCTTAGTTCTACTCATAAAGTGTACTATTTCTGCACTGACTGACAGGAATAGTTCCTTCCGACTGTTGTCCTCCTTATTAAGCTTTATTAGGTTATTAACAGTAAGAAGCAGAAAAGAAACAGTACTGTTAGTTGAGAAAGTTAATTTTAGAAAGCAATGGAAAGCACCTTACCAAAAAGGTGGATCTAAGCCATGAGCTTTAATGAGGTAATAAAAAACACTAAGAAAGAAAAAGAAAAAAGTTGAGTGAGCAATTATTTTACATGAAATCGTGTAAAGAATTAATCATACCAGATTATTATTGCAGCAGTATAGAACTTTTATATAGTAGATTAACAGTTGAAATCCATATGAGATTATTCTTTATATGTACACCTGAATATATGTTTTACTATAATAGAAAGTATTTCAAAGATCTTCCAAAAAATCTTGCAGCTATAGACTTCCATTTCATTTTGAATGGAAATATTTTTATATTTTCAGGCAACATGTATAGGTTTTGATTATTGGTACTGAGTCATTTAGTAATATTTCATTTTTAGTTTCATGATTTATTTGAACCACAGTGAAATATGCAACCTAGTTCAAAGCTAATGATACGTAAAGTATTAACCCTGACAGCTGAATAGGGTCTTTATATTCAAAAAAAAGAAAGGAATGAGTAAAGAAAGAGAGGACAGAGGCACTGACAGGCATAACCATGATTCTTAGGAAAACATACCTAAAGAAGGCACATCACAGCATTTCTATGCAACCAAGCTCTTACAGTCTAAGCTACAGCTGCACTAGCTGCTCTACACTAACTTTCTACATGGGCACTTATGCACTAAAAGAAGGGGAAATTTTACATCTTAAGCTTAACTCACTTTCAAAGAAGACTAAAAATAGTGGCCTTGGTTTAATATAAGATTTAAAGGTAATACTTTTGCATGTTATTTTCTTGCACCAGATAATTCTTAGTCAGCCGTCTCCATCCTTTTCCATTACAGACTACTGGTGACTGCCCTCTCTTTCACTTGGAAGTGGTTCAGAAGTCTGGCCCACAAGTACTAACATACCCATGTCATACGAATTGATATTTGACCAAGTCTCAAATTCATCTTAGTATTTTCTGAATCATTAGCAAACAAGGAAAACAAACAGGAAGATCCTGTTTGGAAACACCTCACTTTGAAGGACTGACAAAAGCCACCTCACTATAGCCCTTGCAACCAAATGACATTTTCTATGACTGGCAGAACGGAGCAGAACATAGTATTTATAGGGGGTCCCTTTGATCCCAAGAGTATCATTTACCTGTGTTACGGGTCATTTAATTATTTGTCTTCTCAGTCAATATCCTTTGATGTAACAAATTTCAGGATGCCAGTCTTCTGATATATGGCAAAGTAATTAATTCCAGCAATAATGCCTTCAAAGATGATGTTGCAATTCAACACAGAAGAAAAAAGCCACAAAAGAAGAAAGAGGGTAGACACAAATAGTATATCTCTCTAATTCAGCTAAGAACCAAACTTTGTATGTTAGTCTGAGTGAGTTATTTGGAAGATTTAGATACACCATATAGCCTTTTTCTTAGTTTTATATGATACATGTAAATCTAGTATTTATTAAAAGGTAAATGACAGATGTAAATTCATGTGACTATATGTTTACATGTTTTAAAAAAAAAGGTTACATTAAAATGCTAAATATAGAATTCACTTAGTTTCTTAAATAAAGAAATCAGGATGTAGTCTCATTCCTTTCCTAATAACAAAGTACAGTGATATTGAAGCCATGGAGCACACATATGGGCCTTTATTTCTAACTTTACAACTTGTGCAATTTTTTAAGATTGTTCAAGTCAGACCAAAAATGAGTTCTGTGTAGAGAAAAAAAGAAAAAAATACACTGTTGCTGGGGTTTTCTTATCCCATTCTATAATGCACCTAGGCTTCTTGTTATTTTCTACATTTCTTTGAGCATCACTCTTGAGCTCCCATGGACTATAAGGGAGTATGCCTACTTTCATCATTAAATCCCAAGAACCAGGCTGACTGCAAAAAGACAAAGTTCTAACTCAGAAGATTGAAGTCATGTCTGCGTAAACTAGCAGTACAGTCCCAGGGGAGAAGACTTGTAGCGCAAAACTGTTGCTGCCAAGAATGCAACATCCACAATACGTGTTTCAGGTGGGTTACTCAGACTACTTGATAATCAGCTTATGTGGACTGAATGTTGATTAACAGTTCAACTTCATCTATTGTACTCACCTTCAATTCATAACTAGTGCAAAAAAAATCCACTTCACAATTTCTGATAATGCTTCATGACATGAAGTCAAGCACGATAATTGGGAATGAGTGGGAGATTAATTTTAAAAGTGCACTCCTGATATAAATCCCAAATTGAGCAAGCAGCTGGACAGGGTATGATTTCATGAATGAACACACTAGTGTAGCGGCACAAAAACTTGAAGTTTAATATTCTTACCTGCTTTGTCAGAATTCAGGCAAAGTATTCAGCCCTAAAATTTGACATTTTACTCTGCTTCACATATTCTGACTCTAAAGAGTTGAATTAAAATTAGGCCTGGAAGCAGTCATGCTGGAAGCTTAAAACTCTATTTGCATATTCCATTTGGGCTACTATTGTGGATTTAGACTTTAAGATTACTCTTTTATGAATATTTCCTATTTTTTTAATCTACCTATTACTTTCTTCACAGAAGTTTTCTGTAAAGACATAATTTATAAGATTAAGAGGTGCGATCTTTTCAACTGATTGAAAGAGATGAGTTTGAAAAGTATGTAAAATCTGACTTTTTTTCTGGGTGGCAGGGTTTGTTGATAAGAAATTTTCTTACTACCCGTGTTTGCTCATTTCTATAATGGGATGATGACTGTAGTAAAGGTCATATTGGCTCCATACAGCATCACAAAAAAGCATAGAAAGTTTTGAACTGTACATCAAAGAAATGTCCTTATGAATTTAATAATTTTTTCTTTGTTTTATTAGATATGCCATTAATTATCTCTTAACATGGAAACTGCATAAAATGTTAGCCATTTATACTTGGATGCAAGCCCAAAGTAATAATTGAAATTATAATTAATGAAAACTTAGCTCTTCAGCTGTTAGCTGTATGACCCAGTGTCTTTTTTCTGAAGTAAAAGATTATATGGAGAGAAATATTATGGCTAGAGAACACTACAATGCTTCAGAAGAGCTGCACAGCCATGACTGAGAGAGGACTGAAGAACTTCTTATAGAGGTGGAAGATTTTCATCTTTTCTCCTTTCTCCAAAAACCCTGGGGAAACAGGAAAATAATGGATAAGTACTACACAGTCCTCATGTGGCTTCTGCCAGCCCTTCATATCAGTGCCTGTCAAAGCTTCATCTACAAGCTGATTTAACATGTAGTCACTCAGAATGGTTGCTTTCATATCAAACCTCCTTATCTACCTGCTCTGCTTGTGATAGATGGAAGAGGTCATGGCCTTGGGAGGAATTATTTGCAGATCTTCCCTCTCTCTTTTTCAGTTAGTTTTTATTTGAAAGGGAATCTGAGTGGTGTTATTTACAGCCCTGTTAAGGAAGATTAGCAGAACAGAAGGACAATGATACAGATATAAATTCTATGGTGTTATTGCTCCAGGCCAGAAGAGATGAAAGGACAGCGCTAAGGGCACAGCATTT